TTAGCATATAAAAATCTGTTTCAGTGTGTATTCAGGGTCCAGTGCCAAGCTGAGGACGCCTGGTCCCAATATGTTATGCAATTGGCATGCATTGCTTAATAAATGGATAGGCTCGGAAGCCCGAACCTTTGTTTCCTCAGTCGTTTCAAATTTTACCCATCACAACTGTTACAAGGAATGAAGAGCTCAATGGAGAGGAGATAAAGAAAAATATATTCAGAAATTAAACTGATATAAAAAGAAAAGGTAGCAAAAAAAAAAAAAAAAGCTTTTTAAAATGTTTTAAAAGACTGCTCTTTGAGAGCTGACAGAGATTGTCTCACTTTTCTCTGTGTAGCCCTCATACCGGGCACAGTGCCTAACACATTTAAGGCACATGATGAACGTTTGCTGAATGATTTAAGAAAGAGCAAAAGGGGAAAAAAACCCGGTAGAGGAAAAGAGGAGAAAAGAAACTACCCAAGACTCATGGGACATTAGCAGCAATGGCCCAACAAAAGAGACAAAGACAGGAGAAGCAGCAATGCCCAGGAAGGGGAAGAGAGGAAAAACATCAAGGAGGAAAAAGTGGTTGACAGTGGCACAAACCACAGAGAGATCAATGAAGAAAACACCATCCAATTTAAAAATGACAAGATCAATAGTAAGCCAGAAAGGGCAGTTTGGTCGAGTGGTGAAGTCCCAGAAGTCAAAGCGGGTGAAGAAAAGTCAGGGAAATAATTTTTTTTCTAAGAGTTGGCTTTGAAATGGAGGGAAAAAAATATGTTAAGACTTTAAAAACAAGAGGGAACAGAGGGACAAGTGAAGGTTTCTTAAAGAAAGGAGGTAGAACATTCTTAGGCAAAGGAGGAAGAGAATAAAGATGAGAAAAAAGAAGCAACAGAAAAGGGCAGGCTCCAGAAGGAAAAAGGAGCTGACTGCCAGCTCACTCAAGGGCAAAAATACTGCTGGCCTGGCAAAACGGTACCTCTTCTTCCTGTGAGTCTGGTGCCAAAGTGGAAAGAATGGGAACCCAAAGTTCTAAGAACAAATGTTGAAAATTGTTTTTACATGCAAGTGGGAAATAAGATATATAGGCAATGGGGTATAGAAATCTATCCTGCCCTACAGGAAAATAGAAGAGGAAGGACATAAGAGAAGGGGGGAAGGTGATAGAAGGGAGGGCAGATTAGGGGAGGGAATATTCAGAATGCACACCATCTTGGGGTGGGGGAAGGGGAGAGATAGGGAGAAAATTTGTAACTCAAAATCTTTTGAAAGTGAATGTTGAAAACTAAAAATAAATAAAAGAGAAAAAAAGTGGAAAGAATGGGGGCGATGGACAGGGGTGTGTAGTACAGAATGCAAAAGAGGGTCCATCAATCAATAAATATTTATCAAGCACCTCCCATGTGCCAGGCACGGTGCTAAGTGTCAAATGCCACACCTAAAAACTCATCACTTCCTGTGTCCTCCTCAGCCATTCCCTGGTTCACTCACCACCCTGTTAAACAAGGACGGTGAGGATGGTGATGATGACAGCATGTATCCCTACAGCACTTTACAGATGTCATCTCATTTAATCATCACAAAAATCCTGTGAGGTTGGTGTTATCACTATCTCCATTTTAAAAGTGAGGAAACTAAGGCAAAGAAATATCTACATGACTGATCCAGGATCATCCAGCCAAGAAGTATGAGGGGCAGAATTCACACTCAACCCTTCCTGACTCCAAGTCAAGCATTGTATCCAATACACCACCAGCTGCTCCTGATGACATTAATAGCTCATGATCTGACACTGTGGCCCTCGGCCATACAGTATCTTTCCATGCCTGTACTGGATTCATAATTTCACTGGCACCTCCACTGATGCAATCCTGAACCAGTAACATGTAGTATGTTATTTAAGGTACATAAAAAGATGACTCCCTTGCGAACAAGAACCTGTTCATTCCCATTTTTCCAAAAAGCCCAAATCCAAGACAGAAGTGACTGATTTCATCAGCTCCAAGTTAAGTGCTCTGCCCAGGATCACACAGCTAATGCCAGAGGCTGCCTTTGAACCCAAGTCTCACTAATTCCAAAAGCAGCAATCTATCCACTAAGACTGGCTGCAATGCAGCATTACACCAACCAAGCTATGTAGCAAACCATTTATCTTGAGCAACAGCGAGTATAACTGAGTATCACCAAAGACTTTGCCAAGGCAGCATAATGAAATGTGAGTCACTACATATGCTCAAGCTTTATATGAATGAGATTCTAACAGAAAACATAAAATCTCATTTTGAAATATGCTCATTATCCATCCTAAATAAAGGATATAGCACTAACATAAAATTACTGTTGCTAAAAAGGAAAATCCAACATTTGGTTTATTAGAAGTGACAAAATGCATTAAGGATAGCAATAATTCACTAGTTAACCACTACCCAAATTGCATAAAAGAACGTTTACCTGAACACATCCGGAGTAAAATGGCCCATCCCAAGGAGAACCACCTAAGTTGTTCCCCTCACACCAACATGTCCATCTCAGAGGCAAAGAATAGAACGGCAAAGAGACTTTTAAATTTGTTCTATTGCAAACCCCCTCATTTTACAGAAAAGGAAAAATAAAGCTCATGAGATGACGTGATGGGCCCATGTTCATGCAGCTTAACACATCCAATGTGTCATTGGCTAGAATCCATTTGTGCACTGAGGTGCAGATGGAGCATTTCCTACCCCCCTTGATGGTCATGTTATTATTCAATATTGCCACTGAAGGCCCTGAAACACTGGCCTAAATATAACAGATTACGTACAAAGGAAAAACAGCAGCTTAAAGTTGTGCAATTCTGGCCTCTAAGTCCAATTTCCCTCAGGCGGACCCTACCTAGAGTCTTTCATCCCCAGAAAGAGAAAAGAGATGTCCCAGCTGAGATGATCACAAAATGCAAATTTCTGTCAAGTAGAATATCTTTCATGAGGAAACCAGAGATACCTTCTCACAAGGAAAAAAAAAATCCACAATTGAATCCAAGCGGGTTCCTAGAAGTGAAGCTAAGGCACGTCGGCACTGCCTACGGCCACAAGGCTGCTGCCCAACACACTCTTCCAAAGGAAGGCTCTTCTCTCCACCCTCAGCACCACGTACTTTGACCCATCCTCCCAGCACACACTCATTCTCATACTACTACTACTACTACTACTACTACTACTACAACTACCACCACTACTACTACTACAGCTGCTGCTGCTACTACTACTACTACTACTCCTACTCCTACAACTATTACTACAACTACAACAACTATCACTACTACTGCTGCTGCTGCTGCTGCTGCTACTACCATTTATATAGCATTTAGCACTGGGCTACACATTTTACAGATTTTATCTCATTTGATCTTCAAAACAATCGTGGAGGGTTATCCTCACTAGTTGAGGAAACTAAGGCACTGAGGCTAAGTTCTTTCATTCATTCAATAAACTGAAGTGTCTAATATGTGTGCCAGGCACTGTGCTAAGTGTTGGGAATAAAGAGGCAAAAGACAGTCCCTGCCCTCAAGAAGCACACACTCTAATAAGGAGAGGAATACACTAGAATTAAGAGGGGTTAGAGAAGGCTTCGAGGAATAGGTAGGATTTTACCCGGGACTTAAAGGAAGTTGGGAAGGTCAGGAGGTAGGACTGAGGAAGAGAATTCCAGGGATGAGAGCCAGAGCCAAGAGCTGAAAGATGGAGGGTCTTGTGTGTGGAACGTCCAGGAGGCCAGCGCCACTGGATCAAAGAGTACATGGAGTAAAGTGTAAGAAGCCTAGGAAGTCAGGAGATGGCTAGGTCACAAAGGGCTCTTGATGGCAAACAGCACTTTGGATTTGAACCTGTGGGTGATAGGGAGCCACTGGAGTTGATGGAATAGGGGAGTGAAACAGCTGGACCTGTGTTTTAGGAAAACCCCTTTGGTGGTTGAGTGGAGGATGCACTTGAGTGGGAAGACATTTGGTGCAGGCAGACCCAGCCAGTGCAACAATCCAGGTGATGAGGACCTGGGGGACGGGGGAGGGGGATTGTCAGGACAGAAGGGGACGTATTCCAGAGATGTTACAAAGGTGAAATGGACAGGCCCTGATTGGCCCGGGTCACACAGCTATCGAATATCTGAGGCTGGATTTGAACTCAGGTCTTCCTGACTCTATCCCTGCACCAAATCACCTGGATATTTACTCCCCACCCACCCCCCTTTTTAGTTTACATTAATTAGGGATTTTTTTAAGCCATTCCATAATTACCATCATCACAGGAACATCACCTCCGAGACGAGACATACAGCTTTTGGTCCTTCCTATTGAACTACTCTAGTTCTGAACCGCCTTAAGCCACAGATCCCTCTAACCACCCGCAGTTATAGGAAAATATTCAACAATGGTGCAAACTCTTAGTGCCTCTACCACCTTCTCCGTTAGTCATTTTTGAAGGGCTTCCCATTAAATCAAGAAGCAGGGGTGCCAAGGGACTGACTCTGGAACAAGTTATTCCAGGGAACATGTCACCTCCCAAGAGACCACATGTATTTTAACTCAGGTCATTAAGTTTCCAAAGTGAAACAATGAAGGATGGACTTTGCTCACTGGTGACTGAATAACAGCTGAAAACAAAAGCCCAAGCCCAACCGCCATGCTGCTATTACTCCAATTCACACAGGCAGAGAAGGCCAGGTACAGGGAAGATCAGGAGAGATTCTCAGGCAGGTACTGCATTTACCTCTCCCCAGCAGGACAAATGAACAGAGAAAGGTGCCCTGTTATAAATGATGGAGGAGGAATACAGAGACTAGATATATCTGGGAATTATCAGATGGAAATTTAGTGTCTCATTTGGTTCCACTTCCACTGAGAGGCAGAACACAGCCTCAAGAAATCACCACTACACGTGGTCCTCTATGGGCCATTTCATCGATCATAATGCAGATTTTATTTGAAATTTTCTAAGTCACATCATGCAAAAAAACATTTAGGTTAAAAACACCCGTACCTGTGGGAGTGCAGTATTGAGCTGTCTCTGCAAGGAATCTCTTTCGTGGCCAACCTCATGCAACTTCCCCTGCGTCAAGGCAAGCGTTTCTTGAGTCTCTCTGAGCGTGTCTAGAAGACGATCTCTTTCTTCCAACATGGAGACCATTAATTGTTCAAAATGTGAATCAGCATCTGGCTGTAAAGGGGAACCAGAACCATGGCTCCCACCTCCTCCTGGGGGAATTTCGGCCTCACTGATGGTTGGCATCACCTCGCACATCATCTTGAAATAAAAATTCAGATCATAATCATTAAATGCAATCTTGGAGTACAGAAGCAATTTAGAACAATGCACAAACTCAATATATCACCACAAATTACAATGAAAAAACACACTTTATTTCTGGCCTTCGTAAGGGTAATGCTGTCTCTAAGTGCTACCCAAGCATAATGTGAACTGGAAAAATCAGAACATGTACCAGACATCTAAAGGCCAAGAGCTCTAAGTGAATGAACACAGAAAAGACTCTGGCATGTGCTAAAGCTTGGTCATCACCTTTCATTAAAAATAATAATAATAAAAAAATTTTTTAAAGGAAATCTGGTGACTTCTTAAAAAGCAGCATTTTTTCTTTGTTGCTGCTTTTTTTAAAAATGGTCTTTTATGACCTCATTTTCCTAGTTCCTGGTTAAAAAAAAAAATACAACCCACAAAATATTCCTGGCACCCCATCACCTTTCAAGAAGCCAGTAGGAACAATTAATCAATAGAATGCACAAATGCTAATCAAGGCTAATACAGGAATATGTATGGGCAACTCCTGGCCAGGACAGGTAGAGCCCCAAGTTCTTGCACTGGGCTTGGTGAGTACAACAAAAGGAAGCTAAATTATTCAATAGCTGGGCGAGCACTGGGCTCCAGTAGCCACTCAGCCTTACTCATGGGAAAGAGCTGCGACACCTGCTAGCGTAGAAATAGTCTACCAACACGGCCAGTGAAAACCTGGACAGAATGAAAACGAATGGCAAGATTCCATGAGAATACTTCTCAAATACATTAAAGGGATGAGAAAATATGACTTTTAAGCAAGGTTTGAGGGTGGTTTGTGGAAAGCCGGGAAATCATGGCTCCTCTAGCCCAGGGCTTCTTGACCTCTGCTGTGCCACAGACCCCACGAACACTGTGCAGCCCTTCTTAGAACAAGGTTTTTAAATTCGTTAAATAAACTACAGAGGAAACCAATTATGCTGAAATACAGTGATCAAAACATACATTTTAAAAGTTCCCAGACTCCTGTTTTAGACCATCCAGTTCCTGAAGGTAGCTTTGGTCCAAGAGAAATTTCCAAAGTTCACAATAGTAAGTGATCGGTTTTCCCCCCTTGTCCATTTCACACAATACCCTAAAACAGTCTTAATGGCCACTCTAACTGGAGGCAAGCCTTCAGCTGTATAAATATGACGTGATGAGAGGACCACATTTATCAGTCACTCAATGAACATTTATTAAGCGCCCACTACGTTCCAGGCACCATACAGAAAAATGAACTTCTAGCTGACCCATCGGTACCAGGAAACGGCAGAAAGGTAAAAGCAAAACTATCCCCACTCCCAGCTCAGCGATGACAGGTCCTTATTCCTGGCTGGGGCGCTAGGAAGAGTGGGAACCGCACGGAAGGACCAGAAAAGGATCATCTGGATTCCTGAACAGGAGCAGAATTAGTCGGGATGGCTCCAAAGCCCTCCCCGGGGACCCTGCCCGTCTCACGTGCCTTGCCCACCATCGGGCAGCTACCGATGCTGCCCGATTTAAAATCAAACACTTCGGCGATGTCAAGGCAGCGTAGCACAGGTCTCCGGGAACGCAGCAGGCACTTAATGAATGCGGACTGATCGGCTGCAGCGCCGATCGCAGCACTCCAAAGGGGAGGGATTGCGGGGGCCGATCCCCGCTTGGCTCGACCCCTCCGTGCCTCAGTTTCCCTGCGTGGTTTGCCAAGGCACTCTCGAGGGTACTGGCGAATCGGGCCGGCCCGGGGCCTCCTGCGGGCACAGATGGCCTTGCAGGCTGCCTCCGGCTGACCGCCCGCCCCAGGGGCTGGGAGCCTCAGTTTCCCCAGCTATCCCAGCAGCGGGTGGGCCCCCGGGGCTTTCTAGTCCGCCCTGGGACTCAGTTTCCCCCTCTGAAGAACGCGAGAGGTCTGTGCTGGAGCCCAGGATCTGGAGCACCCAGGGAAGCCTCCCGGGGAGGGGGACGGACCCCGCTCGGGACCAGGTCCGAGCTGGCATCCCGGCCACGACGGGGTGCTCCCTTCCTGCCGGGGTCCCGGGGCTCCCTCCCCGCCGCCGCCCGTCACTCACCTTGGCTCAGGGCCCGAGCCGGCGCCGGCGCCCAGGCGGAGCCCCCGAGGGGAGCCGAGGCCGCACGGGGCTGAGGAGGCTCGGCGGCCAGGCCGGAGCCCGGGCCCGCTGCCCCGACCCCCGACTCCCGAGGCAGGCCGGCCCGCCCGCCCGCCTGTCCTCCTGCCCGCCTGCCCGCCGCGGCCTGACCCAGGAGCGGCGACAAGGAGGCGGCAGCGGCGGCGGCGGCGGCGGCGGCGGCTGAGGAGGAGGAGCGGCGGGAGCGGGCCGGGCCGGGCCGGGACGCGCGTCAGCCGCGTCATCCGCGCGTCATCCGCCGCGGCGGCGACGTCCTCGCGTCAGCGCCGCTGCGTCGGCGCGCGGACGTCCACGGCTGCGTGCGGACGTGGGTTTGCGTGCGCGCGCCTACGCGCGCGCCTCCCCCTCGGCTCCCTGGGAGAGCCAAAGGGGAGGAGCCCGAGGCTCCCAGGGATTTGCGCGTGCGCGGAACTACCCAGGTGTGCTCTGGGCCTGAACCCCCGGGGATGCTAAGAGGATGTGCGCCTGCGCCTGCGCAAAATGACTCACGCTCGCTTTGGGAAAGGAGAGGGAGAGGGAGGCTCTGGGACACCCGGACTATGCGCCTGCGCGGAACGACCGCGGCGCGCTGTGCCACAGGAGAGGAGAGGTTCCTGGGGCGTCTGCCGATGTGCGCGTGCGCTAGCAAATTTCACAGTCTGCTCTGAGGGAGGGGGGAAGAGGAGGGAGTAAAAAGCCAGATGGAGACCAGGAGAGGAAAAGATACGAAAACAAAGGATTTAAGATAATAAGAAAAAGGAAAATGGAGGAAATTAGAGGGAGAGAGAAGGAAAGAGAAAAAAAGAAAGGAGGAAGAGAGACGCAAAGCGGGAGACAAGGAGAGGAAGGCATGAGAGAGAGGCAAAAAGGAGGAGAAATGGGGAGAGAAAGGTGGAGACCGAGGAGAAAAAGAAAGAAAAAGAGACAGGCAAAGAGGGAGAGGAGGGAAAGAGAAGAGAGACCGAGAGCAAGGACTGAGACTGGGAAGGAAGGAAGGAGACAGGGAGAAAGGAAGGAGGAGGACGAGGAGAAGCAGAGGCAGCAGGGCAGATGGAGAGGGAAAGAGGAGGAAGAAAGGAAGGAAGGAGAAACAGGAAGAAGCTGGGCCTGAAAAGGCTTCTGGAAAGAGGCAAAAGGGAGAAACAAGGAAAGGAAGGAGAGGAAGGAACGAGAACAGAGAGAGGGAAAAAGAATCAGTGAATAGATTCACCATTTGATCAAAAGGCTACTGGAAAGCCCCTGCCCTCAAGGAACTGGTGCCATATGTGCACTTTTCTGTTTCGGTCGGTTAACAAAGCAAATCCAGCATTAACTCCGATTTATAGGGGAAGAACAAAGTGGTAGCAGAATTCAAAGCCTGCTCTCCGACCTCTCCGCTAGAGATCCTAGTGGAGGGAGGGAAGGAGGGAGAGATCAGAGGAGGGAGGGAGGACAAGGATGGTTGTTGATGTTAGAGCTTTTCACTCTGCTTTCTGATCCGTGACTGGACGCCCTCGAGACACGTCCCAGCCCAGTTCTGACGCTCAGTCTGTCTTCTGCCTCTCCCAAAGGGTAGCTCAGGACTCCCTTCTGGCCTGATGAGAGGGAATGAAAGATGAAACACCTAAAGTCATAGAATTGGGAGGGTTCTTACAGGCCCTGCAGCCAGGCCCCAATTAGTGTGAACAGTAAACCCCCTTGAACAAGTCCTCTGTTTTCAAATTTACACTAAATGTGATAATTATGCAAACTATGGTAAATGGTTCCAAAGGAAACATGCAGGACCACTTAAAGGGACTCATAATAATCAGAAGCTGACTTGCTCATGGTACTCAGGACAAACCTTGAGCTATAAGCACTGCTCCACACTACGTACCCTATCTACCCCCACACTAAGGAGAATTAAAAATTAGGTTAAGCCCCCAACCCACTGCCTTTCATTCCTGTCTGATTATAGTGGGACTCCGCTAGAGAAACCTCACCTGGGGGGGGGGGGGAAGCCTTAGCTAATTCCACTATGTAAATCATAGTATCATGGACAGAGCTGGGATACATATAGGATTTACAGATAGGAAAACTGAGGCCCAGAAAGGAGAAAGGATTTACACAGTGTCAGTCACACCAAAGGCCCTGTCTTTGTCTGGCTATTTCCTGGTACTTGTCTCACTCTTCCTTCTGATATGGGAGGCATGGACGGAAAGAGTCCTGATTCCGATCCTGCCTCATGTTTAATGCTGCTGTGATCTGGAGTAAGTCACCACCTCCCCCGGCTTCAGCGTCTTCCTTTTTAAAATGAAAAGTTTGGATTAGGTGGCTTCTGAGACCCTCCTCGAGCTTTTGGTTGGATCTGCTACCCCACAACTCTATGGTCCCAAGCTCCACTTCCTGCTCTCCCGTTACTGTAAGATCCTGAAGGGCAGAGCCCAGCATCCTATTTGTATTGGCAGTGGAAGGTGCTAGCACCTTGCTGCCTGCACACAGCAGGTGCTTGGTAAATGTCTGTTAATAGATGAATTTAGTAAATAGCAAAGCCAGGTCTCTGGATTTCCAAACTAGTTCTCTTCCCACTACAGAGCAATCTGGGTATTGCTTGGGGGTAGTCTAATGCAGTTCAATCTAGTCAATCAATCAATCAATCACCTTTCATTTAACACCTTCGGTTTGCCTGCCACTCTAAGCTAAAGGAGATACCAAAGGAGGAAAAAGAAAGCTCCCTGCCCTCAGGCAGCTCACAATCTAGTGAGATAAACAACTATTAAATGCCTACAACGCTGCCAAGTTCAAGGCACTTGAGAATACAAATTAAAAAAAAAAAGTCTTTCCCCCTAAGGAGTTTACACTCCACTTGGAGTTAGGAGGACAACTTTGTAACAAAATAATGAAATACTAAAGACAACATAGTTTCCTGAACAGCACCGAGGGGAGGGGAGTGGGCTCAGCAAAGGTCTCCGGTCAAAAACAGGCATCTGAGCTGATCCTGCAAAGAGGCCAAGGTGAGTAGGGAGCACAATGGCAGAAGGGGGATGGGGGGGTGGGGTCGATGAGGAGACACAGCCTCCTGGCCCTGCATAGGCATGAACATAGGAGAGGGAACGTTGAGCACAAGGCTCAGTTTGACCTGACCACAAGTGTGTGAACAATAGCAATATGAGATGATGTCCGAAAGGCGTCAGGGCCACGTTGGTGAATGCCAGGGTGAAGATTTTGTAGTTTATCCTGGAGACAACGGGAAGCCACTGATGATTTTTGATTGGGGGATGTTGGTGATCTGGTCAAATCTGTGACAGGAATATTAGCTTAGGTGCTATTTTGGAGGATGGAGAGGGTGGAGATTAGAAGGCAGGTGACCCATGAAGTGGTTGTAATCTTCTCAATGAGAGATGCTACGGGCCTGAACTGTCTAGTGGTGATGGGAATGATGGGGTGAGATGTTGAGGAAAGAGGACTGCCCAGACTTTACAACTGATTGGATGAAGAAGTGGGTTGAGTCAAGGAGGACTCCAAGGTGGCACCCCTGGGTGATTGGAAGGATGGAAAGGGGAGGAGAGAGGGGCTTCTCGGAAATACAATCGTTCTATTTTGAACGTGTCACAAATGAGATGCTGATGAGACGTCAGATGTAAATGTGTATCAGGCAGACTGGAGTTAAGACAGCTTAGGGCTGGGTATATAAATTTGGGATTCCTCTGAATAGAGATTTCAGCAGAACTCTCTGGGAGCCCAGGGAAGAGGCTGATTCGTATAAGCGACTAGAGAGCCAGTCTTCAAGTCAGGAAGACCTAAGTTCAAATTCTACCTCTGACAGATGTTAACTGTGAGACCCTAGGCTAGTCACTTAACCTCTCAGTGCCTCATGGCAATTCTAACTATTAGCTGTGGAGAAGGTGCCACCCTAAATGTGTGGACTAAGTTTCTTCACTTGGAATTTCCCTACCTGCAGAGATGAAACCATTGTCCTTTCTCTTTGGGAGCTGATGGGCTTTTAAGGAGAATGTTGAGAGAACAGGAATCCCAGGACAGAGGCTTATGGGATACCCATGTTTAAAGGGATAGAGCCAGGTGATGGTCCTTCAAAGGAGAAGGAAGAGCATGTCGTTTCTTGTTGTCCCCTGTTAGATTGTGAGCTCCTAGAGGGCAGGGATTATCTTTGGCCTTTTTCTGTATCCCTAGGGCTCAGCATAGTGCCCGTAGCAGGCAATTAATAAATGTTTATAGATTGATAATTTTGTAGTCAGACAGATAGGAGAGTCAAGACGGAATAATATTACTTAAGCCAAAGGAGAACAGGAATCAGGAAGGGGTGAATGACTGTCAAAAGCTGCAAGAAAGTAAAAAAAAGGGATGAAGGGAGCTGATGTGGGGAGGTGGGGAGGGGGGTGAGCATTGAATTTAGCAGTTGAGATCCTTGAGAGATAAGGAAAAGGAGAGAAAAGAGATAAAGAGAAAAGGAGGAGGAGGGAGACAGAGACAGAGAGAAGAGGAAGGGAGGGGAGGAGAGAAGAGGAAAGAGGGAAGTTTCAGTCAAGTGGTATGGTCAGAAACTAAGCTACAAGTGGTCGGAGGAGTGAGTGGGCAGCGAGGTTGAAGGGGTGCACAGTACAGACATTTGTTCCGTTAGAAGTTTGACCGAAATAGAAGATTTAGGCTGATAGCTAGAAGACCCGAAAGGAGCATTAATACTTGTGGGAGGGCTTTAGCTGCACACTGGGGTACCCAAGACTGAAAAGCAATTTAGTCCCTGCCCTCAAGGAGTTCACACTTTGGAAAGGAGATGAGAAGATGAGGTATCTCAGCCGGCTAACTCTCCTGGGACCCTCAATCCAGAACCTGAGGTGGAAGGGAGAAACTCCCTGAGGGAGAAACTGCTTAAAACCACCTAGCCTCATTAAGTCTTATCACTTTTACTAAGCACTTGCCTCCCTTTGGGAAAGGGATAAGCATTATGGTGATGCATCCAAAACAAAAGTCTTCCCCTCCCCCCTTACCCTCCTCTTCCCCCTCACCCTCCTCTTCCTCCTTAA